GACGTGGTGCAAACGTTATGTGAGCGGTGGAAACTAACATCAGGACGAGGGCAACACTTAGAAAGGAATCGGCCACTTCCGGCTTCATCAAACGCTCGCGTAGTCTGGTTAAAAATTGAACACATGCAGAGTAGCTTAGTCCAGAAGATGCATCTAAAAACCGAAGAAATTGCAACCGCGTAAAGAAAAAAAAGATGTCAAGAGCGTAAGTCATAGCTCTCGTCACATCCTCTTGTAAATCGACGCCAGGGCGTTTGGCACGGAAAGCCAGTTGCTTGCGAATAGAATACGGAACGACAGGTCGAAGTCTTGACAGATAAACTTCACGAAGAGATTCACGTTGCTTTTCTTCCTCCGTCGAGTTATTTGTGAAGCTTGTCAAGTTAGGTGGAATCATCGGCATTGCGGGTGAAGCGCCTGCCGCCGCCGGGGGTAACAGTTGAGTGGAAGGACAGGGCGTCCCAAGTTCAACCTCCTGTACGACGTCGTGCGCCATCCGAAAATAGGCCGTAGAATACGACACCCAGAATGGCCTATTTTGACCAGACGTAGAAGCCAAGGAGATGCTCAGTTCATTGGCATCATGTGCTCCAAAAAAGCAACGACGCAGTAGACGTTCAAATTCCATGTGCTTACATTTAGTGGTTTCCGGGTGTTCATAGAATGCGGCGCGACAATCCATTAAGAAGCGTGTCGCTGGCACAAAGTAGCATGCCTCTACAAGGCCCTCGGAAACTTGAAAGGGCGTTCTATCATTGGGATTTGCGTTATTCTGTTGGGACGAAGAAGCTGCGGCGGGTGCGGAGCCACCTTGCAAGGATGAAGAACGACTACCCCCCTCATTTAATGAGGCCTTTGGGGTGAGTCGCCCACCCGTCGGGTGAAACTCACCAGCGTTGGGGTTCAAATCCCTTTTCATACAGCCTCTGCATTCACAGTGTCGTGTGTTTGTGTGTAGTTTGGACGTGGCAGGGAGGAGTACACATCAAAAAAAAAAAAAAAAAAAAAAAAAACAATACAAAAGAGATAATTGAAGCGGGTAACGTGACCAAGAGAAAAATGCAGTGAGGATACATGTCTGGGCAAACACCATTTTGTTTTGATAATACTTCATAACAAACGGCGTGTGTGCCGTTGTTTAATGAAAAGAGGCACGCGATACAGGGGAAGATACGGCGTCAAGGCAAAATATGTGATCGATAATAAAAAGATAATTGAAGATGAAGAACAGCAACAAATAACAAAAGGATGGAGCCTTGTAAACCACATCCACCTATTTGCTCAGGTTTGTTTTTAGTCGATGAAGAAGTTCCGTGGTGCCGTTCTTCTCATGCAGTGATTTTTTCGTACGCTCCTGTTGTACCAGAAGACGCCTAGAAATTTCCCTCTGCTCTGCGGCGGCGGCCTCCTGCTCCTGGCGCAGCTTTTCCTTCTGATCCCGTAAGGACTGCTGCAGACGGGCGGTGGTATTCATGAGCATACCGTGCTCAACTGTGAGGAGGAGTTTTGCCTTTTCTAGTTTGTTGATGTCGCTCATAAATCCACGGAGGTCGATAGACAAATTTTCCATTGTCTGTTCCTCCTCCTTCAGCTCGTTGGCTAATTTCTCAAGAAGTCTGCGAAGGGCCGTGTTGTGAGCCCTTACGTTCCGTATTTCAGCCTCCTTGCTGGTAACATTGCTGGTAGACGCAAACTTCTTCTCACTGCCACCACCGCCACGACTGCCCTTTCCCGTCTTCTTCCTTTTCTTCTCTGCCATCACCGTCCGCGCGGTCGCCTGTGCCGATTCCTCCTCCTTCTCCCTCTTCTGCTGCAGAGTCTCTAATGCGCATACATTCTTCCTGATGTGTTCATCGTGCTCACTTGGCGGCGCAGCCGGGTGTTCCTTCCGCTTGCGCTGCTCCTCTTCTCGATGCATCTCAATCTTATTCCACCTGCGCTCTTCCTCATCGATGCAAGCCATCAGATCATTTCCCTCACGAAGAACGGCCCGGTACTGCGCCCGCACGGATGCCAACTCCCGCAGCACCTCACGTTGTTGCGCCGCTGTCCTTTTCTCCTCCAATGCCACGGCCTTTTCAACTCCTCCCGACTCACCTTCCGATTTCGGTACATTCGTGAACGCTTCAATCCTCACGGCAACTGCCAAAGGTGGAATCTCCTCCAATTTTGTTCCATTGACTTCCATTAAAAAAGTTGGCTGACTCAATATCATTTTTTTTGCAATGCAAAGAATTTCTTCATTTGTCAAACGCAAAGAAAATAGTCTGTCCCATGCAGGCCCCCCAACAACACTGTCTGAGTACTTGCGCGCAGTGGCAAAAAGTTCCTCCACTGACATGAGAGAACGACAAATGCTATTTTCACTTGGCCCACCACAATGATGGAGAACCAGGGAATTCAAAGCCTTATGTAGTCGATCTGCTTCTGCGACAATGGGAATGCGCAATATCTTGACATGTAAAATACAATCACTTCCATTTTCTTCTCTTTTTGCATGACTAACAAAAAGACACCACGTCGGATCTTCTACCACACTGAAGATTCCCAACAAAGACCCCAAGGCAGGATCCAGCGTGTCATCGGGAAAGAATGGAATAAATGTTATGGTATCTAAAGAATAATCCGTGTTTCTTGTTTCATTTATCTTGGCCTCAAGTAGTTCAGTGAAGTCGCG